AAAGGGCCAGCCAGATAGCTCAGCTGATTAAAGCCCCTGCTTAGGCAGACGCAGGGACCAGGGTTCAATCCCCAGTATGCTGTGCCAGCCCTGACCCTGGAGCGTGCTGAGACAGTAATTGAGACTGGACGTGGTGGCACATATCTGCAATCCCAGCGCTTGGGAGACTGAACACAGAAGGATCACTACAAGTCCGATCTGTGTATTGAGACCCTGTAGACCCTGTACTAACTACATTTAAAAAAAAAAAAAAAGGAAAAAATAGAATTTTGCACAGAAATCCAAGAGTAGCCACTGGAGGATTTGGGACTGGGTGGAAGGGAGTGACGCATGGAGATAGCCACCACCAGATATCACAAAGAGGGGGCTATAGCTTGGGGGATGGACTGGAATCCGTGAGCCCAGAGGTAGGGAAATCAGCTGGAAGCCATAAGGAGGCCAGGCCTCAGGCCGGGGCGTGGAGAGGAAGACGAACCCAAGCACAGTAGGACAGTGAAGTCCAGAAGAAACCATGCATCCCTTAGCTATTGCTAGGAGACACTGCACACCACACCACTCCAAACCCAGCGACTGCAAACCACAGTCATTTCATCTTATAGATCTCTGATCAGCTCGGCCTTGGCTGATCTCGCCTGGGCTCTACTGAATTGCTGGGCTGGGCTCAGAGCTCAGGCATCTAAAGTTGGCTGACCGCAGGAGGGGATGACTGGGGTGGTTTGGGCCAACTCCGTAGTTCTGTTATCCTTCTCCTGGGCCCAGGAGGCCAATCAAGAAGTATCCTTCTAACAACAGGGCCAGAGACAGAGCAAACGCATGCACGCAAGCGCTTTATAAATCTTTAGCTCCATCACACTTGCATTGGTTCAGTCATGTGGCTGAACCCAAGGCAAAGGAGCAGGGGCCATTATTCAGCTTTTTAGAGAAAAAAATTACAGTCATATGGCAAAAAGCACAGATACAGGGAAGGGTGAAGAATCGATGTGTTTGATGCAATTTCCTGCTCCAGATGAGGAATTGGAACAGGAGGGTAAAGAGAAAAAGAGTTGGGGAGGAAAAAAAAAATTTTTCCAGGAATATGTTTTTCAGCCCAACTTCCTCTGAACCGTTCACCTGTGGCTCTCTATGCCCCGCAGCCTGTTCAGCTGGCTCCATCCTCTAATGGAACCAAGCCTGAGACAGGAGTCCTCTGAGTGCAAGTCTGTACAGAGAAGGAACCTGTCCCGGGTCCCCGAACTCCATCCAGACCCCCAGATCTCTCTGCCAGCCCCGGCCTGACCTGGCCAGCGGGCTGCATCCCTGGGGACTCGCTCTCGGTCCTCGCTCAGCCTGTGCCGATTACATTCTCCAGAGACTTTTTTTCTCTGTGTGGGCCACCTGGCCATACAACCGCTTCCAATCATGCAAACAGAAGGGTGAGTGGGGAAGGAGGGGTGGGGAAGGAGGTGGGAGGAATCCACCACTTCCGCCTTCCAGGACTCCCGCTTCCCCTCTGCACCCACCTCCTCCTCACTTGCTGACCCTCCACACAATCTACCTGCATTTCTCCAGCTACAGGATAGGCAGAAAAGAAACATCATCTCTCCAGAGGGCATCCCTGAGAAGAAGGATGGGGAAACTGTTTAGGTGACCCTGAAAGTCACCTTTCTGGATCTCAGTTTTCACACCTATGAAACAGTAGCTTTGGTTTCGAGAACATTTAAGCTTATTGTAACAAGCACTCATAGGGTGCTTACTAAGTACCCTGAAGTGCTGTGCAAACATTAACTCATCGATGATTGTGACAATGTGTCGAGGGCTTACTACACGGCAGAGGCCCAAAGGGATTTGAGATGTATTTCCCACCGCATACAGTGAGGGAATGAGAGTCAGGATTTTGACCCAAGCCCTCCAGCACCAGAGTCCACCATAATTTGCTGTCTTTCTTGTTCTCTGAATTTCTGAAGTCCGGCAGCCTGGTCTCTTGGTGTCAGATCTATCCCATGCCCTTGTTTCCTGGAGGTTCCTGCAATGTGACTGTCCTTGTCAATAGGGAAGGGACCTTTGCAGACATCATGAGGTTACAATGACATCACACTGCTAAGGGTGAGTCCTGACCAGCGCTTCCATAAGAGAAAGAAAAAGGAGGTTTGAAGATGGACATGCAGAGACACATGAGGGAAGACAATCCTGTGAAAACTGAGGGAGAATTGGAGAGACGAGGCTCCGAGTCAAGGAAGGACAAGGAATGACCGCCAGAAAACGGAGAAGCAAGGACAGATTCTTCTGTAGCAGCTTCAGAAGGGAGCAGAGCCTGCCAGGCCCTTGATTTCAGACTTCTCATCTCCATAATTGCAAGTGATCAATGTCTATTGTTCTGAGCCACATAATCTGTGGTCATTGCCTCTGGCAGCCCCAGGAAACAACTTGGGTACAGAAATCTTTTTTTTCTTTTTTTTTTTTTTTCCCTCCGGAACCAGGGATTGAACTCAGATCTTTGCGTTGGCCAGTCAAGCACTTATCCTACTGAGCCATCTCCCCGGCCCCCCAGAAATCTTGAAGCCTTCAAGAAGAAGCAGCTTGGAAAACAGGCCCAGGCTACCCACTTTCTCTGCCTGTCCAGCTCACATCTGTCATCTCCTGTCACCTCTCATGGCTTCATCATGGCTGTGTGACCACTTGGCCAGGTGACATTGTTTGCCTCTATGGTTTTGGTCCTAACTTGCGAACTCCAGGCTCAGGATAACTAAATATGGAGGATGATCAGTCAACATGGAACCCGAGTGAAAGGGTTCTTAACAGCCAGCGATCTTGACCATCACAGGAGCTGAGAATTAAGTCTGGGGAGCTTTGGAGGCCAGGGGGTGCCTGGAATTCTAAGTATCTGTGTCCCTAAGCCCTGACCCCACACCTGCAGGGAAGCGGGATCCTCTAAGCTGAACAGTGAGTCATTGGACCTGTGAGTTAGATGGAATTGGGCTGCGACCTCAGGTGAGTCCCACCTCTGGGGACTCTCGATCCCTGTCTCCTTATTATATCTAATATCTTTTATTAGTATCTAATATTTGCCCTGGGTGGTGAGGAGTGTTGAATAAACTAATGTGTGTGAAAGGCATCAGGGAACTCAGGTGGAACAGAAGCCGGATGGGAGCCTCCTGGCCTTTTTGTCCTCTCGCCTTTTGCTGAGTTCTTGGAAGCCTGTGTCCTCCTCCTCCTCATCACTTCCTGCACTGGCCCAAGCTCTATTCAAGGCTTGCAGGTGAACGGAAGTGAACTTTGCCTTGTACCTCTGTCAGTCCCCAGAGGACAAGCCCAGCTTTCCATGCTGTGTCTGATAGCTGGTCTCACACCCCAGCAGAAATAATCCAGGGGAAAAGGCCGACCCGGAGAAGCCCTTGACCCACACCCAGCTTCTCCTTCTCCACCGGCTCCATTCCCTCTGCCCAGCAGCCCTCCCACAAATCCCATCCAAATGTTCTAGAAAGTTCCTTCTCTGAGGGACACCCCTCTCAGTGCTGTCTGATACCTGCAAAGTTGGATAAAGCCTGGAGATTCAGGTTGTCTGTTTAATGAAGGTCTGGTTAAGGGAAGCTTAAACCCTTCAGGAATCCAAAGGTGTCCCTATCTAATTGTGGAATCACGGGTTGGCAGCCTTTGGGCTAAGATTGTGTGTCACCTATTAGCCCCGGAAGGAACTCCTGAATCCCAAGTGACATCACAGCTGGCTTGCTCCACAGAACCCATCATCCCTAGTGTTTCCTTAGGCTCCACCCTCTTTGGGCAGAGAATCTAAAATCAGAGCAAATCATCTGTCCTGTCCTGGATGTAGCCCGATGTCCGGTGAGGCAGAGATAGAGTCACACAGACCTGGATTTGAATCTGGGCCCTTCTACTTGAGCTATGTCCTTAGGAGTGCCTATCACCTCACCTCTCAGAGCTCATTAAGGCCAGTGCCTATCTCCCAGTGTTCAGCATAGAAAAGTGGGATTGTACATCCTCCAGGCCTTCTAGGCAGCCAGTGGCAAACACTGACCCCTAGAAGAGGCCAGTGAGATGGAATGGAAGATTTCCAGTGTTGGAATCAGACAGCTGTGAGTTTGAACCTGGCTTTGTCTTTCCTCATCTGTATATCTCAGGCAAGTCACTCCACCTCTCTAAACTACAGTTTCTCTATAAAATCAGAGTAAAGTCTTGCCTGTGGAGTTCTTAGAAGGATGAAGTACAATGTGTTGGCATGAGGTTCTTAGCTCCCTCCTGTATCTCTGAGGTATCTCCTCAACTCTGGACTCTTTAACTCTAGACTTAAAATCTAGGTTTTACAGTCCTACCTGGCTAGCCCCTTGCCTTGTAGAGCTTTTTATCCCAGATCATATCAAGTCCCTGGCCCTCTGGGTTTCCCAGTTCTACCCCAAAGACTAGATAGACTTTCAGGAACTGCACTGAAAAGCCCAGAGATTTCCTTTGTGGTTTTGGCCTGGCTAGGGGTAGCCAGTGATGGGTCAGAGCTCTAGTACTGGAGAGATATGACCAAAAGCCCTGGCAGGTAAACTTCTCGGGACTACAGAAATCAAAGCCATCTGCTTGTTTGCATCATAGTCCTTTGGGAGGAAATAGACTGACAGCTTGTATAACTTGGCTCAAAAGTGGGCTTGCAGCCCGGAGAGGGGGATCTGCAGGGGGCAGCTCCCAGGGACAGGGCCCCAGGGACCTTGCTCAGGGCTGTTGCAACTGGAAACAGACCTATTCTCCAGGGAGGGGGTGCCAAAGGCCTGATGTCACAGGCTAGACCCTTCTATCAGCTCTTTTTATCAGGTTCTGCAAGAGTTAGGAGTCAGCTAAGGCTGCAAAGTGGCCTCCTGCCTCCTCCTGGTCTCAGGAGGAGCTGGGAGGAAAGGGCGAGGGGTGGGGAGAGGCAGCACCAGCGGTGTGCGCATGGGGTGATTGTCATGGTTACGCTCTGACAAAACAAATGGCTCTGCTTCCTGCAGGCCACCTAAACAGCCATCGCAATGTGGGCATTGATCAAGCTGACCGCCAGGGCAGTGAGCGCCAGGCTTGGGCACGGCAGCCTGGTCCTGAGTGCCCTCTCCAGCAGCTCCTGGGCATGGGCAGGCAGCCACTGCGGCAGACGGAGGTAGTGTTTGCCACACACATGTTGCTTCTGGGGCAAGGTAAGGGACAGCACTGGGGCTCTGCTGAGTACAGGGTTTGTCCGTGCGTGTGTGTGTGTGTGTGTGTGTGTGTGTGTGTGTGTGTGTGTTGACTCTTGTGAAAGTGTGTCTCTTGTGTGTCAGTATGTCGGGAGGGGCTGAGGATGCTTTGGCATTAGAAGTGAGAGAAGAAGACCACATGTTGCTGCTCCCATCCTGTGTCCTAGTCTCTCTCTCTCTCTCTCTCTCTCTCTCTCTCTCTCCTTCTCTCTCCCCCTCCTCTCTCTTCCTCTCTCTCTCTCTTTCTCCCTCTCTCTTCCTCTCCCTGTCTCTCCCTCTTCCTCTCTCTCTCCCTCCCTCCCTCCCTCCCTCTCTCTCCCCGACTCTCTCAGCCTTCTATCCCTGCCACCTGTTTCCACAGTCCCTGCCCCACCATCTTCTCCGGTCTGTCTCAGGGCAATCAGGAGCACTGCAGGCTGCCCACCCCCAGCTGCCTGGCTCACTCCCGCTGCCCTCTGAGTGCCCAGCGTGACTGTGTCAAAGCCGCTGGTGAGCGCACACTCTACTCTGAGCCCCACATCCCTGGGCTCCTGCCAGGTAAGGGGGCTCTGAACAGAGCATCCATGCTGTGGGAAGTGGCCGGGGGAGGGGACCAGACATGAGATACAGCTGGTGTCTGCTGACACATCAAGCCCCCGCTGGAAGTCCCGTCATAACATCTCCTGCAGCAGCCCCAATAGTTCAATCCTGGAGCTCGGCGCCCGCAGCAGACAGGCTTGGGGAAGGGGGGATCCAGAACCTTCCTCCCCTCCTCTGCCTGTTCGGAAGAGCAACAGGCACTTGTCTACCTGTACTGTCCCCACTCCTTTATCTCTCTAGGTCTCTGTCTCTCTGTCTCTGTCTCTGTGTCTGTCTCTATGTCTCTGCCTCTCTCTCTCCCCCACCCCCGGCGCCCATGGCCTTTCTCACTTTTTCCTGTGTGACATATGCCTATTCCTTGGCTCTACCTGTGTGAACTCAGCCAGATCACGGGGCAGGGGCCACAGGGCACTGGGGAGATGCAGTCCTCCCAGGTGAAGAGTTCAAAGGCACCAGGAGAGCTGGTGGGGTCCGAAGGGGGCTGAGAGTAGGTGTGGATGTGTATATGATTTATGCGGGAATGTGGAGTGTGCAGAGCACATGTGTGTAGAGGGCTGTCCCTGGAGGGTAGTGACATGTACAAGTAAGCCACAGGAGTTGGTAAAGGGGGCAGTGATGTGAATATATGTGCAAGCGTGCATGCTTAGAGGTGCATATGTGGGATGTCCTTTATCCCCTGGGAGGCAGGCATTTAACAGTACAGGTGTGTCCATGAGTACACATATGTATAGTGTGCATGTGCTTGTGCATATGCAGAGGATTGTGGGTTGGCCCAGACCCAGGGATTGCTGGGTAGGAGCCTCAAGACCTGTCATGTGACAGCAGGGCACTAATCACCCAGCCCTGGCCAGCATCCATCTCCAGGGGTTGGACCATTTCTCAGCCCCGGTGATGGTCCAGGGCTCAGGGAATGCTGGGCGGCATGCTCTAGTGGGTGAACTGCAGAGCCCACTGTCTTTCTGGAGTGGGACAGGCCAAGGTATCCTCCCCAGCCTTCAATTCAGGAGTTGGGAAAATCAGGGCCCCATGGCCTCACAGGCAGTGTGACAACCAGCCCCTGGCCTTGGCCAGGTGATCTCAGAAGGGGCTGCCTTCTCCCTGCTGCAGCAGATAGAGGAAGTATTTGCCAGGCACATGTGGCTTTAGCCATTGGCCACCAGGCTGTTGGTGAAGTCATTGGGTTGGGAAGAGGGCCCACTTGGATGTCCATACATGCGCTCTGTTGCAGGTGGCTGAAATGCCCACTTGGACCCTGGAGTAACCTGGCCACCTCCTGGTCCAGAGGAAAGATCTCTGTCCTTCCCTGCACCCTCGCTGCTGCTGTTTCTGGTACAGACCTCCCCTCTCTGGCTGGCTTCTCAGCACCAGACCTATGGTGTTTACTGTGGGCCTGTGGCAGGCCAGATCCATGGTGACAAGGGCCTCACTGGGGAAGAAGGTCAGGGGAAGAGGAGCCCAAAGCTCCAGGCCAGGACTTGGCTGTGGGCATGCACTCAGGCTTAAGCTGTCCTCTCTCCTGGGCACTTGGGTTTCTCTCTGCTCCTCCTTGCTCATTTCCTCTGGTGACACAGCCCTGCTCAACCATGGGCCAAGCTCACAGACTGTCCCTACCCTGGCCTTATGGGCATCTCCATTCCAGATGGAGTAGGGAGGAGGCTTGGCCATGGCATGCAGAGGTCAGCCAACATCCCTGAGAACACTAGGAACATTCCTGTGGGCCAAGAGGCTTAGAGCAGCTCCGGGTCACCAGAAGTGCACAAACCCTTCCAGCTGATCAACTCCCTTGAAGAGAATGTGACTGCTCGTGGAAAAATCGACAGGGAATGTTTCCCTACCAGCGCTCCTGTGGTGTTCACCCAGCAGTATGGCTGACACTGGGTTCCTGGATTCCTTAGGGAGAGGGGATTGAGACCAGGGATGCTCAGTGTGGTGCCAAGGCTCCCAGAAGGAGGTGCTGTTAGTGTGGGGATTTGGAAGAAGGGGTGGATGGATGTCTGTCCTGTGGACAAGCGAGGAGCAGCAGAGAAGGGCTTCACAGTGGCTTGGAATGAGCACAGGCAGGGCTGGGGGCTTGGCTGACCAGCGCCAAGGTCCTCAGTTTAAATTAACAGAAAGGACAGGATGGAAGGGAAGAGGACTGAAACACCCAGTCCCTGTGTGCCGCCGGATGCCAGGCAGAGCTGGGTGTTGACTCTCAGTGTCCAAAGAGTTTGTGCTATTAGGGAGAGAGGGAATCATAACCAATTTTCCTAGCTTATGTCAGCCAGTTCCCTTGAAAAGTGCTCTTAGATTTGAGATCCTCGATCTACTCCAGAGGCACGCAGCAAGGCACTGAGAAGGCCTAAGTCACAGAGGGATGGGCCATGCCACGGGTACACGTCTGTGACACACCTGCTCACACACTAGGGCAGGCAGAGCGGAAACCCCCTGGGCAAAGCGCAGAGAGTTGGCCAAGATGGAAGACCTGAGATGGGGCCTTGGGAAGTTTGCCCTCTGTGGTCCCTTGTCCCACTGTGGTCCTGGCCCTGAGCATGAGTCTGCCAGAGTGACAAGGAGTGGGAAGCTGGGTGGGAGCGAAGTGCCAAGTTTATTCCCAGCCTCCTGTGTCACTAAGAACCATTCCCATGGGGGTTTAGCTGAATCCCTACACTGCAGAGGGGTGGGGTGTTGGGTGTCCTGTGTCTTGGAGAGTTATGGGCACAGCAGACCCCTCCCACCAGGAATGAAGCTGGAGAAGGTGGCACCATGCCACTGTACCTACTGAACACGTAGACTGGGTGCATGGACAACTGGCAATGAGGATGGCCTTTACGTTCCCTCTAGGGAGACCTTAGGGCCACTTTGTAGGTGGCAAGTCATGGAGCAGTATGCAGCTGGGTGAAGCATCTCCTGGGAGCTCAGGAGAAGGACAGGACAGGCTGCATGGGGGAGGTAGACTTAGACAGACCCAGAGCATAGGGAGGTCTAGGAACATAAAGCTGGGCTGAAGGATAAGCATCAGCCTCAGCAGGAAGGTGGGCTTCACCAAGGGTCTGTGGAAAAGCCAGTGTCCTCACTTGTCTGGAACTCAGGGTAAGAGTAGAAGGGTAGCGAGGCAGACTGGGATGATCACCAGGGAGCTGCTCTTGTCAGGAAGGAGTCCAGCTTCCCTGAAAGCTTCTGCCAGTCCTGGGTCAGGTGACATCAGGACCTCAGGAAGATAAAATATGGAGCTTGGGGAATTGAAATTTCACCTCTCAACTCCTCAACGAAGCCTAAAGGGAACCAAGCTCCATCTCCTCTGCTAATGAAGTGACAGGCTGGGAATGTTCCTGAGAGTCCCAGGGGGCATCTCAGAACAAAGCCCTTCCCCTTTCCTATCATCACAATGGGGCTCGAACTGCTGAGCCCAGACACTCTAAGAGTTTCCTTCCTCCAGATTATTCTGGAAACCTGGGGAACTAGAGCAGGTGGTCCCGACACAACCCACCATGGGCCCTGGGCAGGAGCAGCTGCAGTACAGGGACGGCTCTACCTAGATTACCGTCATATCTCTTATTTGCTTGTGCAGACTCCATGGGGGAGTCAATACCTGAGACCACACAGGTGTGAAGTGTAGGGCTTTTTTAAAAAAAGTCGCCATAATAAAAATATTAATGAACTGGCCACTTATAAAAATGGACCTTGCACAAACACCTGTCTGTGTTGAAGCCCAGGGCCAATTCCTGGCCATCACTCCACATCTGTGAGCACTGGTTTCTCTGCGGTAGCTCAGGAGGATGAGCAGATGCCCTTGTAGCCCACATAATGTCACAGGTGATCAAGAATCTAGCGACAGGGCCAGTGAAGGACAGAGAGGAAGAAATGGACAACAACCAGTTGTGTGGCTAAGAAGGAAGTTTGATTTTGATCATGTTACAGTGAAACATGAAATTAAAAGTCATTTATTTTCATTTTAAAAAATAAAATCCCGGGGCCAGAGAGATAGCTCAGTGGTCTAAGCTCCTGACAGCAAGTACAGGGACCCAGGTTCAGTCCCTGGTACTGCATGCCACACTGAGCTGACCACCAAGTCCGGGTGTAGTGGCGCACACCCATAATCCCAGCGCAGGGGACACTGAAACAGGAGGATCATTATGAGTCCAAGCTGCATGGTGAGGCCCTGTACCAAATACACTAAATTAAATAAATAAAATCCCAGTTAACTTTTCTTCATCCTTCCCTATGAACCTTAGATCCCTGTTTTAAGTGGATCCACTTGGTGTGCCCTTTTCTCTGGTCCACTTTATAGTCACAGTTTGGTATTAGTGGTTTGAATGATGATGGTGTCCTTGCTGGCTTCACGCACTGTTTCCTTTCAAGTCTCCGGCTTCCACATTGCCCGCTTCAAGTCAGGTCATTCA